TGTGGTCATCATTCCTCCTTCTCTTTGACACAGAACAGGCATTACAGGACTCATGTCTGACACACCCTGCTGTCTATTTGATGGTCAACGTCCCTGTCTGTTTATGTATAGGTGTAAGGCTAAATGATGTCTGATCTTTGATTCGAGTTTAGATTTGTTATCAAATTAAGCATTTTGATTATTTAAATTAATGTTTTGGACATTTTCTTGAGGAACCCAGCACAGCTCAGAAGAGAAATATAACTCTCGTAAAAGGTCAAAACAAGATGGATTAGTGATGACAACAAAAACCACCAACGCGTCGTTTTGCATCGGCTGTTAACAGCACACTGCTCCAGAGCAAAAATGCCCCTTTTATGGGTCAAACTGGATGAACAAAGTATTAATACAATTTACTGTGTAAGGATTATGATGATTAAAATGTATGGATCTTTCCCTAAAGGACAACATCAGCAGATATTGACATTTTCCAAATCTAATTTTTATGCTTATGCTTAGCTGGAGTCACCCACTCTAAATGACGGTAAAAGGGGAGATGACCTGACATTCCGTGCTCTGACCTCCTGCTCCACACGAGGCAGGTAGCTCATGCTTGGCTACTCCATGTTCTTGTGCAGTAGATTGAAGTGGGAAGGAAACACGGGAGTAGCTATACTGACATACCAACATGCATGACAACACGACACAACACACATTTGATACTCAGAGATGATAGGATTTGAACAGTTGCCACTGCATGTGCCATCACTTACTCTCTTTGCTCATGTATGTTGCTTTCTATAATTCTGATGTCCCACATGGTACCGTAGTAAACGAAACCAGCACAGAGAATTAATTTATTGTTGAATAAATATTTTTGAGTGTATTCACTGCTTTTTTGATATTCTTATAATAAGGAGGATGACTTGAAAAAAATCTTTCATTCCATAAACATGATCACAGCTGGGTCTTAAAAGGTCACACAAGCAAACACACTTGTGCTGGCTTTGTTCACTAAAAAGCAGGGCTTTTAAAGGAAATGTCAGGGAAGATGGTACACAAATGATGTTAGTGTTACACCCGACTCCATTCGGCACTTGACACTGCAACAACAAAAGGATGTGTTTAAAGTGACATGGGTGTCGTGTCATGCCAAAACTCAAGCATCAGCCCACCAAATCTTTGTTTTTATGAGCTTAGCTTGAAAAGGTTGTCATTGCAAAGGGGAGTTTTGGCGATCACAAAGAGCCATGTAAATAATGTTTCTGTTTGCACCTGAGGGGTCTTTGTGTCAGCCACCATCTGCTGAAGCTGGGCTGTTCCAGTCTGCAGGGACACTTCACAATACACACACTTTTAACATATCAGTGTTTTCTTCTGGTTGAGCACTGTGCACTAATATCATTGGAACAGACTGCTTTTTCTCTTAGAGAGATGAGCATTTGTGATGAATCCACTTTTCTCTCTCTTTGCACAGTGTCCGTCAGTCACTGTCTACCCATTCACCCAGACACCTACTGTTCCTGGAGCTCACAGGACATTCAGAGTTACCTTACCTTTGATCCTATTAAACACCAACAAAACCATTGCCCCCGTTAAGGTAGTTGCTATCCAAAGAGATTTTCATTTAACATGTGTTTTGTCCATTCACTTTCACGTAGCTGATTGCTGAAGGCATAATTAATTGTACACCCTTTCGGCTGCTACAGCCCCCTTGGGAGTAGAGCCATGTTTGTATGTGGCCCTGTGGTCTTGTATTTCTACATTTCCTGCAAATCTATTTATAGCAGGCTTTAGGTAAAATAACATCTAATTCTTCATAAGCTTGGGCATGTTGTGTTTTTAACCAGTCAAAGGGCTGGGCTGACAACAGAAACAAAGCAGTACATGCATTGCTTTCCTTCAGTTTGGTTGAGGGTGATAGAAACTCATGCAAAGCTTGAGTTATGACTTCCTGTTGTTTCTGACATAAATAAACAAATGAGATGGGATACTGTTGGTATAAAGCCCACTCCAGAATCAGTCCAATTGCTTTTATATGGATATAATAAGAGCAAAAGTGTGCTTGCTGGCCCTTATACCTTAGCTATAGAGTATAATTATTTCTGTTGCATTATTCACTATTGAATTGAACCATTATGAATCAATATATAGCCTGGACACACAGCATTAATGTATAGACAAACAACAGGCTGACAGGAGTCATAACACTAACTGTAACTGTAACCTAGTGCATATCCAGATCATATCCGGATCTACTATTGGCTTTTGGCCCTAATTGGCTCCTCCATCTTTTTCATGTGATGGTGCTGGTCCCTGGAGTGTTGACGTATTTGACATGCCACGGAATGGGTTTCAGGAGTGAGAGAATCTAGGCCAGTCGGATACATGCGCAGACATTCAATACAATTAAATGATTTACTTGTCAAAACACAATGGAACTACTGGGACCACATGAGCGCCATACTTTGAGTAACGCACATTAGAGAGTACATTTTAATGGACTGTCGCACACAAGGCTTTACACAATAACTGTGAATTGTATATTTGAATTGTGTATTATTTGCAAAGGCCTATGTCAGGTTGCTAATCTTTGTTGACAGCTTAGATCTCTGAGAATTACTATTCATTTTTAGCTAAGCCTTGACCAGGTGCTAAGGTCACACAATTCTGCAGTTAGCTTTTGTGACTATTAATTCTAACAAGGTGAAAAAGGTTTCATTTACATCTTTTTACAACCCTCAAAGCACAATGAACATTATGAAAGCGAAAGCAAAGAGCTTGCAGTGAATTAAAAGACTACTTGCAAATATTACCACAAACCACAGGATTTAGATAAACAACCAATTTTTCTAGACTTTTTCTAGAGAATGTGTGACGGAAAATTATATTGTGAAGAATTATTATTATTGTTATTCAAGAGATCCATCATTTTTCCACTACAGAATATTTCATAAATAATCCTATTATGTGTGACAATTATCATGGTATTTTGTGTGTAAGAAATGGAATTAGCTAGATCTGAATTTCAGGGTACAATATCATCACACTAGTCACATCATTGTGCTATTATTTATTGCAGTGTTGTTTTAATAGTTTTATCATAATACCATTATCCAAAGAATTAGGAGTTAAAAATATTTAAGAATGAAAGTTGGTCACACAAGGCCATGGCCTGTGTAGTTCCTTCTGCTTAGGGCCTTTCGTGGCACACATATATACTTGTATTCATTCATTCTCAATATTTCACATGAAATTCGTGTTTTGGTGGGAGGAACTGTGAGAGAAAACAGAGGAGCCAAAGCATCTCAGTTCAAATACATACAGTGCACACAAACATAATCAAATAATTAGTCAAGGGTTGCACATCAAGCCATGGAATGTCCCAGTACATGTATATTCTACAGTGTAACATAAAACATGATATGTTATTAAACTATATATCACACCACCCTGCAAGATCTAACTGTAGTGCTACGAGTCATTTGCCATTGCTATTTAATTGAATTTAATGGGCACAGGGCAGGGACAGTTGTTTTTGTTAAATGTATGTCAATTGTCATGGGAGCAGTGCGTTGAATTTAAATGTCAGTATTGACTGAGAAACTGCATCAAGTGATTAGGACTGAAACCTTTTAACTCCTGTGCCAATACAGGAATCATGGTCTCTCTGACACCAGACACCAGACCCGCTGGCTTTTTATTCAAGCAAGTCATGATAAGACAATATGTATTATTAAAACACCCCATATTGTGAACCCACCCAGGAGGTTTGTCTGTGTCAGACAGCAGGCCTGACAAGCACTGCATCAGGAGCTCTGACACAAATGAGCCACACACCTCGTGCTTATGAAGGTGTATCATCCACACAGAGCAGCGCCACCGGACACAGGCATAAACAGAGCCTCTGAGATTCTTTGAGCCTTACACAGATTCTTTTAAATTCATTTAATGGTCTTGACATACACGGTGAGTTGACATAACATAAGCAATTTGTTTTTAGAGACACAGCCCTAACAGAAGATTTTAAGGGCATTTCTATTGCAGCCACCAGGTGTTGTGACCTAGGTGCAAATGTCACACTGGCTTTCCAGTTTACACAGTAAGAGAAGTATCAGTTTAACAATATCTTTCCCTTGGTACGGTGCCAATGCTGCATTTTGTCAACTAGGCAGTATAAACTCTGGTCAGCTTCACTTTTTGAAAAATTACAAAAATCTAAACAATGGTTTGCTCCGTTGTTGTTTTAGGAATAGAAAGCCATTAGTAGAAGCATAAAGGCATATACGAGAAAGCCTTTCGCCGTAAGTAACGACAGCACAAAATAACAGGCTGCACAATGTGGCGCGTAGGCTAGAACGCGTCTATAACGCTCATTAATAAATGAAATAGGCTGCTCCAATGCATTAAGCTAAAATAAAAGCTCCTGTAAAGTCTTTAAGATTGGGCAGAGGCGTTGGGGCTGGAGTTGTTTCCTCGCGCCCTCTCTCCAGCACGCCCTGTTAACTTGTTCCAAGACGCTCACTGAGCGTGGAAGAGACACGGGACGGTGCATAGTAGCACAGCTGCAGCAGTCACCTGCCCTGCACAAAACGCTGTGTCGTGGAAGCCAAACCTCCGGAGGAAAGTAGGGCCACTAATTGCGCACAAACAGATCCCAAGTCAGCTCCTGGGAGAAACGCACTCGTGTCTTATAGCAGACGGATGTGTCATTATTTTGTTTTGTATTTGTAACACCAGCAAGGATCAATACAGTGAGCATCTATCTATTTGTTTACATTCACTGAAGTGCTTTAAATCACAAATTTATCTTTAAAGTTACATGACTGGATTTATGTTTAATACACCTTGGACCAAGACGAGTCCTTTAGCAGGAAAACAGCTGGGGACGTCTGTGTTGTGCTTTTAATCCAACCTCTTGAGAAAGGCTACTATCAACGCCGACTCTAATTCTATAGGCTACAGCAATTTAAGATTGAACAATGAGTTTGTGTGTCTCATTAAAACAAAATTAGTCTTACCTTCACGCCATAAGTTTGAGCAAATCTTTGTTTTTACAGTCAAGCACTGTTAAATCCAAAAGTGTCCACCGAAGCTTATCTTCCACTGTATCCGTCATTGGCTTGGTCCATCATTGAGTCTTCCCAGTTTACAGCTGCCCGGGTGCGAGACATTTATTCAGGTGTAAAAACATGAAAAATAACGCCTCTCTCTGTGCTCTCGCTGCTCGTGCGAAAGCCTTCGGCTAAGCATCGGAGAGAGGAGCGAGCGCTGGATTGGTTGTTGCGCGTGTGGCTGTTCCTCTGGAGCGTTACGCGCGGCGTTACCTTGCTTAATGACGGAGGCTGGAGAGCGAGGCCACTGTAGAAAAGAAGTGAGCACATTCAAGGCGGGGATACATCAGCTTGAGACACTGCTGGGAACGTGCGTATCATTTTGTGCGCACCGCGCGCAGAGATCTGTGCACTTTACGCTGACGAGGGGCTGCACTTTCGAATCATTAGCAGGTGATGAAAGGCACTTGAAAAGGTGTGAAAAGGGAGATTTTACAACTGCAGCCCATGGATAAAGTACGGTCTTCAAGGAAATTGAATATTGTTATATGTAGAGCCGACTAGACTTTAATGCAAATGCCTCTCCTCCCTACCCTCAGTAACTTTTAATTAATTAGCCTGTAATGTATTGCTTGGTAGTTTTTCACTATCCTCATTAACAGAGTAGTTAATCTCCTCCTCATGGAATACGACAAAGTATGACCTGAACGTTTTGAAAGCGTCTCGCATCTGCTAGTACAGAGCACGGCGTGTGTCACCATGGACAGCGCTGACTGCGAGGCGTCTGTTTTTTCACCACTGATTTATAACTAATACTTTTGTATATAGTGTAATGCTCACGCGCTGTGAACATAACCTAGTGATGTGGAAGAATTGAAACCAAGTTAGACACACACACACACACACACACACATATATATATATACATACATACATACACTGTCCCGCTTGGATTAAAAGTAGAGACAACGTAAAATTGTGTCCTTAATCTTCTCAAAATAAGTTCATTCAACAAAATAACTTCCATTGATATTAAGCCTTGGACATTTTTCTCAGCTGGAATAAGCATTATAGACATAATAGCATATTGTGTTGATTCCTGGCCCTTTGTAGATAACCAGTGTGGACTTACCCTTGCTCACATAGGCTCGTAGCACATCTTGCTGATTGCTATAAGGAAACCCACTGCTGCCCCCTTATACAGCCTCTATTAACTTGCCTTGATGGTCAGACTTTTGGGCAAAACACATGATGATTGTAACTAAAACTGTTGATATAAAATATAATATGTTTCCTTCCAGTTGAGATATGGCTGTATCTTAGATGGGGGTACTTTGCACAAGGGGCTGCTCTGCTGGTTTCTTCTTGGGCACACAGATTGTAGATTCCAACACCAATGCTGTCAGCCAGGCCCAGTACAGAGAGAGAAAGCCACACTGGAGGAGAGCTGTGGAGAAGGCACAAACTTGGCAAAGCAGCAATTTGCTCTGACATAAAAGTCACTCACATATGCCAACAACAGGAACAGGGATGTATTTCATGCACTCACTGTCATTCCCCTAAAGTTCAGCTCATTCTATTAAGGATTCATGATATTAGAACTCATTAGTGTCAAGGGAACATGGGGTGACAGATTTGGTCAGAATGACTACAAAACAGCTAAAGTGCGAGCTAGCCTGGCAGTTTTGGTGAGATAATACAGAGTGAAGGATGGAAAGACAGATAAAGAGGAGAGAGGTGAAGACCACAAACAGATATCAGGAAATCAAATAGGACAGCTGTTGGAAAAGATATGATGTGCCAGTAAGTCCGCAAATCAGATGTGATTTTCAATGCAGGCTGTTCTGTAGCTGTTTCTATAGTTTTTACAAATTATTCAATTTATTCTACAATTGAGAGGTACTTAACATTTAAAGTATACTTTATTTAAACAGAAAAAAGCTGTTAAGCCACTCACCCACAGTATGCCCACAGTCGGAGTCTAATTTATTGTTGAGCATTCAGCGCTTTCCATTTACTCATTCTCAGTATGTGCCAATGACTGGCCTAAAACAAACATTTTTAGAGGAAAACTTATATAGATGCCTCTGTGCTTATTACAAAATATTCCACACCTCAAACACTTTTGCAGAAAAGTGTTTCTTCAAAAGGAAAATGTTTTAGATTATATAAGATGATATTTTTTAGATTATATAATATGCACTTTGTGCAACATTTTAAAATGTATTTGTGACTGCATACTCATTAACACTGCAGGGCCACTGGGGAAACAATCCTTAAGGCAGTGCTAAACTTTATTGTGCTTGCAATATTCTATTTCTTTTGAATATATTTTTATGAAGTTAAATCAGACTTTGTCCCAGCTTCAATATAAACTTTTGCCTGTCTTAATACTGGATAATGGAGGGTGTTGAAGGCAGTTGGCTTCATCCTATGGCATTCAATATAAAGCTCTCCGCAGTGGTAGATTTGTGGCAGCAACCTCAGAAAGCAAAGCAGATAATGAGGGCAAGAAGGGTACACATCCTATTGGATTAATTATAGAGTACATGTTACTGTGTTTTACATGCAAACACTAGAAACTGTGTGACTTTATATGCTATATTAATAACCAAATATTACTCACTAAATAACCAGTGTCAAAAGTAAATTTCCACCACTTTTAGTTCAAATACAATAAAAACAGTCCCATAAAACCATGTGTAGCCTGATTAGTTCTTTTTATGCAGTGGACATCTGCAGCACAGATTATTCAGTCAATCCCTGTAACTAGCACACCAAACGATTGTGGGGCTTAACGTTCACAACAAACGCACTACATTCATTTATGCCTGTGGCTGCACACACATTCACTATAGATCAACGTGCAGAAGAAGCTGTAAAGAATCTTGCCAAGAGTAAACAAAAATAAACATTTCAAACATCTAAGTTCTTAGACGATGGAATAATAAATGCTGACAAAGATATTTTCATATCATATGAAGTATGTTATTAATTAATTAAAGACTGGGCTTTCTATAAACGAACATTGAAAAAAAATTAAAAGGTGCACTATGTAACCTGTCTGGTGGGGGGTTTGTCACCTGCTCATCTCAAGACCTTATTGCTTTATCGGGAATGGTCCACAGAATATTTAATAAAATTGTTTATTGCTAAAATACCTTGAAAAACATTCTAACAACATTCTAACTCTGGGCGGGGTCATCCCTCCACAACTTTGAATTACAATTTGGTGTGGTGCTGTCCTCTGTTTGCCTAACCAGCCAGTCCCATCAGCGTCCTGTTTGAATCCAGAAGAGTCTGGAATCAGACCACAGAGAGTGAAAAACCTCCAGCCATAGCCACTAATTTGCATCACATGTTTCTCAAACTTGGAAGACATTTACTCTTAAAGATTCTCATGTCATCCAGAACAAAATATATAACTAATTAAAATGGCTTTGGTGCTTCGATTGTGGATTCTTCTGAAATCTGCATTGTTTCTCAGTGCTCTGTGTAGTGTTTTTTGTTGTTGTTTTTTTTTCCCTTTTTTCTCCAAAACCTAAAAGGTTTGGTTTGAATGATTTGGTCAGTTGTTTTACCACAGAAATTCTGGAGCAAAACAATTGCTTCCTCTACAGATTAACATTTGACAGTGTAACTATAGTTGATGTATGTTTGATTTTGTTTTGTTTTTTTGTTTGTTTGTTTTTTTTTCCATAAATGGGAAGCCTTACCTCTCTCTCCAATATTTTTATTTTTTTTATGGCTGCCTCAAAGCACTACAGAATATTAATAATCTGAATCTCACATGATTGTAGTATCATAAAGGCAAAACAGTGTTCCTGTTACTCAAAGTTTCAACTGATTCTTGTTGATAATAATAATTATTTCTATTATCAGGCTGTTTTAGGTCAACAAAACTGTTTACAACAAACTAAATGTAAAATAAGGATCTGTGTATGTTGTAGTTTAGTGCTAAATGCACGGTGTCTTCTTTAAAGAAGCCTCTATTCTTCTTCTCCTTGACCTGCATGAATGAGTATCACCTTTAGCCTCAACAGCATCATCCAGTGTCTGGAGACTGCTGTGATGTCATATATTTGACACCACTGATGTCAGGGAGGACCTCTCCTTATCTGGCCGGTGCTCGTAGAGACTTGTGCACGTTGCAGATATTTTTCATGAAGCCCTCTTTCACCTGGAGAAGCAGGACACATACGTCATCCTCCTTCACCTCACTCTCTCTTCATACACATGCACATGCACAGACCCTGGTGAATACACATGAAGATCTTGGACTAACTGTCTCTGTGTAATCTGGACTTCTGACATTGTCTCAAGTAGTCTCCATCAAATACACATTTCTTTCTATTTCTGACAGCCTCACTTGGCCCATTAAACTAACTATTATTGTGTTCTTGTCTTTTCTGCAGAAGAATGTGGCACAACCAGAGCTTGTTCAAGGACAAAAGATTTTAATTATTACATTAATTTCTATGTTAAATCATTGGACTCGGTTCCTTATTATTTTGTACATATTTAATTGAAAAACATATTGTCCTTTAAAAAAGTAGGTGACCTACAGCTTAAAAAAGGGATTTGGTGGTAAAAGGAATTAAAATAATGAGGAATAATAAGGGACAATTTCCCTTAACTGTAAAATGGGATAAAGATAAAATGTGCAAATTAATTAATTTCTATAAAACTCAGCATTTTCCAGAGGCTTGCAGAGCTACTTAAAGAGGAAGTCCCCTTAGCTTCCACAATTATGCTTTTCAGAGGATATTATGGGAAAACAACATGTCTCATGTCAACAGGGAAGAAAGCTCTTTCAGAGAGACTGGGTTTTGTTTATTACTTAAACCTATTAAACTGTAACATTTGCTCAGAAATGAAATTGAATTCTGTTAAGAAGAGCTCTAATGGATGCAAATGATGGTAACATGCTTGTTTGTTATTGGTATATGCAGCAGCAGCTGCCCAGCTTGTGGGGAACAAGAGATGGGAACTATGTCCTGATGTGGGAAAAGGGATCTGTAAGGTAAATAATTAATGCAGAGAATTCAGAAATCACATTTACTTTGG